ATTGATGAACAAGGCTGAAAAGCCCTCTAAAATTCGTGCTAGGCACTCTCTCTAAGCTCCCCCTTGAAAACGGGGGTTTACAGGCTGTTTAAATAGAAAAATCGGGTGAAATTTGAGTTGAATTAGGATTTTCGGAGCCAGACACGATGCCAGGCACGATCGTGCCTTCGATCGTGCCTCTGGAGCAAAAACGCGTATTTTGGGCAGGCACGATCGTGCCTGGCTGGCAGTAACTCCGCGGTGCTTTTCTCTTCAGGCACGATCATTTCTGACTTTGAGGGCACGATCGTGCCTACTTAACTTCCGAATTTGACAAAACTTCCTTCATGAAAGTTGTAGATAATGAAGTCCTCTATCCACCCCAATTTGCCGAATGTGATTTTAATCATCCAATCAAGAGATATGATCAAAAGCGTGGAAGGTGTCTTTCTGAAATCGCAGCAGAGATCATCTGATTTCATCGTCTGTTTTCACCTTCTTCCTCTAAGATTCTCGAAACGGTGTCTTCATATGATTTGTAGCCCTTGAAGTTCGCTTTCCTATGTAACTTGAATCGTGTACATTAGATGTTTCTTGAAAGAGATATGCTTGAACGATTGACAGAAGGTCATCCTGATCGTCGTTTTCAAGCTTCATTCATCTTTTTTTTCTTATCTCGAAGGCAGTCCTAGAGCTCTTTTTCCTTCAAATCTTCATCGTGAATCTTCCGGTGACCTCCAAAGCTATCAAATCATTCTCAAATTCTTCTCAAATCATCCCGATTGTTCCTCAAGTGCCGGTGCCGGACTCAAATTCCCTGATTTTGACTATAAACAACACAAAACTCGAACCAACGCCCGGTAAACATAACTTGAGCTAAAATTGAGACTTATAACACCTTAAAACTAGGAAAATCATCAAAAGCCGATCTCAACACGCATCAAATACGTGTCAAAATAAGGACTTATCATGTACCCTCGGATGAGGAGCTCCGAAAGTCCATCTTAGAGGAGGCTCATTCACCGGCGTATGCTATGCACCCGGGAGGTACGAAAATGTACCGTGATTTGAAAGAAAGTTACTAGTGGTTTGGTATGAAGAGGGAAATAGCCGAGTACATCAGTCGATGCCTTACTTGTCAGCAAGTTAAGGCAGAGCATCAGCATCCAGCTGGGTTATTGCAGCCACTTTCCATTCCAGAGTTTCAGGTAGGACTTGAAGGTTGCTACCACCGCTCGTTGCTTCGGGGAGATCAAAGGAGGGAGACGCGGTTCGTGCTTCTTCTGTTCCTGTTTTGAAAACATTTTAAATAATGCTCATGGATATTATTTTTGAATAATTATTTAGGGGCTTGTATGCCCATGTTTGCCAAAGTGTGGCATAAACACTTTATTAAATGTTTCCGCTGCATTAAATGAATATTTTACATTATGTTTGTTTATGGATGTACTATGTGTGAATGGTATTCAAGACGCCTAGTATAGTATGGATGAGTTGGACTGCGGTTGACTATTCGTACTGTACGGCGGGTTGTTGACGTGTCCGGTAGGTCCGGGGCGTGACAGGGGCCTTTTATAAAGTTCGACTCAGGCCCAAATTTGTGTAGGATCGACACTGAATGACTCATACGGGGATTATCCTTTATTTTGATTCCCCTAAAAAAATAGGAATAATTGATGGGGTATCACTACCCGGCTTCTCCTTTCCAAAAACATAAAAGGATTCCAATTTTCTAAAAATATGACTTGTTTCCATTCGCACAAGACCAGCCCAACCCAACAGATCAAACGTGTCTCTCTTCTCCACCATCGCACCCCTCAAGCAGCCATTGACGCAAGACACGCGGCTATCTTCTTCGCTGCTTCTCACCTCCATCGTCGACCACGACTCCACCACCAACGCGACGCCATCAAAGCAGACGGAGACCAACAGTGCAACGCCATCGAAGAAGACAGAGCCCACCAGTACGACGACGATGGAGATGGTCTGCATCGGCGACGAAAGCGCCATATTCTCCTTCTTTGCTGCTTCTCTTCGCCATCTCTGCTCAGATCAGTTGTCGATTTTAGATCTGTGAGAGTTCCAAATGGGCTATGGGGGCTGGGGCGAAGAGGGCGGTGGTTGTTGGGGCAAGGATGCGCTGCTGGTCGGTGCTAGGGGCAGATCCGGTTGTGGAGTGGTTGCTAGGTGGTGCTGGGGGGCGGATTGGGTCGGGGCATATTGCTGGCCGAGGCTGGGGGGCGGATTTGGTTGTGACACGTTGTTGGCCGCCGCTGGAGATGGATCTGGATGTGGCAGGTTGCTGGGTGGCGCAGGGCGGCGTTGGGGAGGTGGCTGAAGGCTGGGAGGGGTCTGGGAAGGGCTGGGGGTTGGGGAGGTGGCTGGGGAGGTGGATGGGAGGGGCTGGGGGTGGGGGGGGTGGGTAGTTGAGTCAAGGTTGGGGCAGCGGCCGGGGGGTGGCGGGTGGTGGTGGTGGTGGCGTCACCGTGGCGTGTCACTATGGCTGAGTAACTGTGACCGGTGGTGATTTGTCAGGGGAGGGGGGGGCAACAGTGACTGGTCGGGACAGTGACTGGCGGAGTCACTTTGGCCGGAGTCACTGTGACCGGTGGGCAGTTACTGTGGCCGGTTGGCAGTCACTGTGGCCGGTGGGCAGTCACTGTTGTCGGAGTCACTTTGGCCGGAGTCACTATTATAGTGACTGATGGCATCGGCGGCAGTGCTGTCGGAGGCGGCGGTGGTGCTGGTGGTAGCAGCAGTGGCGGTTCTCGGGGAGGTGCCGGTGGCTACAAATGAGTAAAAGGAATATTAAAAATTAAATATATGATTAAATATAATGAATAAATGACTTTTAGTCACATTTTTGGAAAAATTTAAAACAAATCACTTTTTCATCTTTTTCATTCATTTTAGTAATATTGGAATAAAAAGGCCAAAAAAATAACTTTGATTCATAAATTCAGCTAACTCCCTAAGGGCCATGCTGCGCCTTTTCCCGTATTTCAGAATCTTTAATCGGTGGATCGAATATACTCGGTACGTATGAAATTATATACTACGTACATTATATTGAATGTTACTACTCCCTCCGTCCCATTTTACTTATCCTACTTTCCTTTTTGGGTTGTCCCAAAATAAGTGTCCACTTTCCTTTTTGGGAAAGAAATATGTGGCCTACACCAATTCACTTTATTATACTCAAACTTCAAATACAACTTTTACTTTTTCAACCACTTCATTAATAACCGTGTCAAGTCAAACTAAGACACATAAAATGGGACGAAGGTAGTATATATGATTTAAACAAAATGATTTGTTTTTGTACTTTTCACACTATGATATTGACTTTAACTTCTTTGATCTAGGCAATTTCATTTTATTTTCTTATCTTGTGTGTCAACAGATTTTTTATTCTAGTTCGTGAATATACAAATATTTATTACTTACGCTACTAACTTAAGAATGAATGGGAATAATCAACTTAATCACCAAATAATCACCAATCAATCTTTCAAAAGAAATTTGCACATCATTTGGATTTTGGAATGAAGGTGGTTAAATTTTCAAACACAGTATCATTGTCTTTAAAATTAAAAAAGAACTGGCTCACTTGTAAAAGAAAAATATGTACACGTACTACTTTAAGGAGACCTACTTTAAGTATTATTGTTTGGGCCAAATAAGTCGTGTTTTGAAACCAAACAAGGCTGCTCATACTCACAATAATTTTTACTAAAAGAATAGTCATAGTCAAAATAAAGTACGTAGTATTTATTACCGCAAAAGTCAAAGTACTACAACAAAAGAAAAGGAGACAACATGCAGTACTTTTAGAAGAAGAAATTAATAAAAGAAATTACTTAAAATAGGAAGAAAAGATAATTAACTGAAAAATATGACTAAATGTGTATTATTCATATATATAATAAAATGTTATCAAAGTAGGAGGTGCATTTTAGAAAGAATAATTTATATATTCACTTTTTGTATACACTTCGGATCAAGAGAACTGTCATATATTAGTAGGGTTTAATGCACGAAATCATCTGTGATATGGAAATTCGGCGTATTATCCCCCCTGTGATTTAAAAATGCGTCAAACCCCCTTGTGTTTTAATTAATTATGCGCCAAATCCCTTCCGTGAACAAATTCAATTGTCAAATAAAAGAAAAGTGATTAACATTTTTTTATGATTCAGAGATTTAATCTTGACATATTTACTTGCATATTCAATCAAAATATTAGGAAAAGTGATTTCAAAATCATCAAATTTATTCATGAAAGAGGTTTTGTGCATAATTAATTAAAACACAAGGGAATTTGACGCATTTTTCAAATCATGTGGAGCTAATGCGCTGACTTTTGATATCACGAGGGGTTTGGTGCATTAAACCCTATATTAGTATTGATTTACATCTTATACTCCCTACGTCCCATTTTGTAAGCACAATTTTCTTTTCAGGTTGTTTAAAAAATGTGATCACTTTCTTAAATTGAATTTGATTCCACTTTATCTCTTTATTTATCATGTCACCATTTACTTTTTGTGGATTCGTTTTTCTCTTTTTTACTTTTAGGAGGTTAAAATCTCAAAACAACCACTTTATTCTTTATCTTACATTATGGACCAAGATAGTACATTACGTACACTGTGATTAATTAATTTTATCATCAATGAATTTATTTTTTGATGATAAATTAAAAAATTCAACATTAAATTAATCAATTCTACGTTAAATAAATTGCAATGCAAAATAGAATGGTAAAGTTGGATTAAGTAAAATAAAATATTACCCAAAAAATAATGCTGGACGCAAGGAGATCAGAGGTTGACATGCAAGATGGCCGGCGCCAAATAGTATTGACTTGCATCAATTTGCATGATTAGCTTCTACTCATCTATAAATTCGGACCTTCACTTGACATTTCCAAAACTTCATTTTGTCTTCCTCTCACATATTCATTCTAGAAAGAAAGCAAGCTAAGAAGAATTGAATTTAAACAATGGGAAGATCTCCATGTTGTGATAAAAATGGAGTACTGAAGAAGGGTCCTTGGACTCCTGAAGAAGATCTCAAACTCATCCAATATATTGAAGCTCATGGACCTGGAAGCTGGAGAACCCTCCCTAAAAATGCTGGTACATAAATTCACTTTTCAATCTTAATTTTTTTCATGGTGATTCAAAAAGTAATCATAATCTCAATTAATTAATATGCTCAATCGCTCATATACCACACGCATGTAAATATATATGTAGGGCTTCAAAGATGTGGAAAGAGCTGTCGTCTTCGATGGACTAATTATTTGAGACCCGATATTAAGAGAGGCAAATTTTCTTTCGAAGAAGAAGAGAGTATTATCCAACTCCATAGTGTTCTTGGAAACAAGTAAGACTACTTCCTTAAATTACTTTAGTCGTCCTACTTTTAATTATGTTAGATTAGTCTATATGTTCTGAAACCCATTAGAGTACGAAGTATTATATACGGATCGGAGTATATCCTAGAATAAGATTCAAAATAGGCTGGATAAGGTTAGTAACTTGATGCTCATCACGTAATTATAATTACTACTCCGTATTGTCTACGTTTAATTTTAATAAGGTAGATGGAACAAATTAAGATGTACACCAATTCTTCCATTTCATAATTAAACACAGAAATTGTAATATTGGAACAGATAAACCATTCAACTATAGGCTATTGTCTACGTATAAAATTAAAGCTTACAACACGGCCGAAGCTAGGGAGCTCATCAAGGGCGTGGGGTCGTATAGATAGGGGCGGAGCCTGAATTTAGTGTCAGTGGTGTCAATTTATGAAAGATTATGCTTATACACAAAATTTTTATTTTTCAGTGGTGTTAATTTAATTTTTTTTAAAAAATATATACAATATATATAGAGAAAAAAAAACAGTGGTGTCAATTGACACCACACTTCAAAGGGTGGCTCCACCACTGCGTATATATGATGTTACTTACAATCCAAAAAACCGGTGGGCGTAGCTCAACTGGTAGTGAGGGAGTGCCACAAGGGTTAGGTCTCGGGTTCGAATCTCGGCAACTGCGATGAGGGGTTACTATGCTGAAAAATGCATAGGGCTTCTGCAAGTACCGGGGACAGAGTCTCACTCTCTATCTGTCATATTGTGATTATAATCCAATTTACATCCTCCCATCGTGCCGTCCGGTCGGTGTTGGGGGCCCTCAGGGATGGGATGTCATCCTTTTTTTTACAATCCAAAAAAGGAATCATATTTGCCAGGCACGTTTTTACAATTAGTTTTAGCTTTTTTCCTAAAACTGCGGCGCACAAATCGTCAAGGCACGTTTGCCAGGCAGGAGATGGAGAGAAAGCTCTGGGATGGCTTGTCTGTGAGTGGAAGTTGTACGGAAAGCGGTGGCTAGGCGGCAGGCAGCAGATCGACGTCGAACGACGTCTTGGCACTAGATCGGGCGGACACCTGCACTAGGCCAGAGTTTTTAGTCGATGACTGTGCTCACATGCCAGTATTCTGTGGAAGAAGGCGGCGGGCGATGGCCAGTGGACGGTGGCTAGACGGCGGGCGGACAGCGGGACGGCTTCGTGGGTGGACGTTGGGAGGTTGTGGCTAGGGTTGAAAAAATTGGTGGAGAAGTTAAGGTTTTATAGATACAAGCTAAAGGGTATATTTGTCCATAAAAATTATGTATTACGTAGTACTTATTAATTAAAAATTTTAATTAAATATTATGAATATTAATATTATTTGCGGGAAAAAACTAGTTAGGTCATAGATTGGGAAATTCATTGAGTTTTAGTCATGCCTAGGGTAATTATCTCTTGAGAAATTTACCTTCTATATTACTAAAAGTCATCATCTTTCTCATTATCTTTCCCATTATATGACTTGTATGTTTTTTTTCCTAATATGATAGTACATGTCATGATATCCATATCATCCGTCCCTTTTTTTTATTTTCCCTTCCATAGTTGCCCTTGTACAGTACCTAAACATATTAAAGATAGCTCCTTATTTTATGCATATTAAATTGCTACCATAATTATTTTACGTTCAAGATCCCACTAAACTAGGTAACCGAATATTCTAATTATACTCATGCTACACCTTCCATTCTTTTTTTTTCAATCTACACGTTCCATTCTTTCTCGTCTAATTTTAATTAAGCTACCCATCCATTATTTTTTATCTTCTAAAATTTTGGACAAAAGACTAATTTTTTCATTGAGTGCGATGAATTAGTTCATTTAATGCAGTCAATTCGAATGTATTAGTGATAGTTTATGTAAAATTTATGTAATAAAGATGAATATTATCATTTAGTGCAATGAATTGGTTTATTTAGTGCAATGTAATGCATGAATTATACACCCCAATCTTCTTAATCATAAAATGTAATAAAACTTATTTACTGCATGTATTTTATAAGTTAATTAATAATTGCACTACACAAATCACAAAATATAATTTTTTTTTAAGGAACCACAAAATAAAAGTTAAATATGAAATACCACACTATTTAGTGCGGTATATTAGATCAATATAGTAATGTCATCAATAAAAATCACTGCACTCAAAGCATGAGCAGGAGGAAAAAGAAATTTTTTGGTCGTATTGTTAGACCTCTGCTTCTCATCAAGTATGTGCTAGCTCTTTCTATTTCCTCTTTTGTTTATGGGGTGCACACCGTTTAAATTGGCAGGAAGGGTATAGTTTTTTGTTAAACCATTATTCATTATTGTTGTTCCTAAAAATATGGATCACCCTACTTTCTCTCCATCTTTAATTATGCAATTATGGCTTTGATTCTCTCCTGTTCTGAAAAGCACTATGTGATCGAACGTATGTTTAAGGTCAATTTTGTCTTTCAATTCTCCTTGATTTTACGGATATAATTGTTTTGATCTCATTAGAGTCATATGTTGGGAAATAAACATTTATACTTGGTCATACTTTAGAAATTGTAATGAGTTTTAGTCATATATAGGTATTTATCCATTGATCTATCACCCTTACTCTTATACTTTTGTGAATTTTATAAAAAAATCCCGTCAAAAATGTTTTCACATCATTTTCATATACTGACTGATAAATACTTTCATATAAAAATATTATCAGTCAAAGTTTGTTATCATTCATTACAAAACAATTTTGACCAACTAAAATGTGACGTGACGGATGGAGTATATCACAATGGAGTCATTGGAGTGTACCATTCGAGTATGTTAGGTTGTCAGTTCGAGTGAAAATTGAGAGGTGTATTTACTACTATGATATACGGAGTATACTTAATTTAATTGCATATTTATATATTCATTCCATTTCATAAAATTGAGACTGATATATTGTGACTTAATTTTTACTATAAGGTGGTCGGCTATAGCAGCTAAATTGCCAGGGAGGACTGACAACGAAGTCAAGAATTATTGGAATACTCACATAAGAAAGAGGCTTCTCAAGAGCGGCATAGACCCCGTCACTCATACTCCCCGCCTTGATCTTTTCGACCTTTCCTCGTCTCTCCTAAACCTTAATATCTCCAATGCGCTTCATTTACAAGCCTTGATAAACCCGGAGATGTTGCGTCTTCTATCCACTCTCACAGCAGCAAAGAACGAATATACTTCACACAATTTATCCCAAAAGCTTCTAGAGAGCTGCCATTTCACAAATGATCAATTATTGTTTCAGAAATTGTGGCAAGAAAACCAAGCCGCCCTAATGAACAACCTCACGACCTCGACTTGCCCGACATCATCAAATAACACGCAGCCGATGAACACCGCTGCCGCTACCACAAGCCCCGTCGAGTTGAATAATATTGGCCACGAGAATACGATTAAAAGTGCAGCCCAGTGCACATTGACATATCCACGAGGCGAGTACCCGGGGAATCCGCTCCCAAGACTTGAACACGTCACATCTCGATCACCCGACAACACCTTAACATTCGACCACCAGAATACGATGATGCAAGAAAATTTGGTTCCTTCAAGTGATTTTTTTACAAGTCCGGAGAGCTATGGTTCCTTTGGAGTAGGACTTGGGAATGATGAGCCCTTAACCGAAATGTGCAATCACAATAGTCAAAGGAGTTCCAGGTTTGATTATTCTTCAGTTCTTCCCACGCCTTTGTCGAGTCCGGGAACGGCTACATTTGTTAACGGCGACGGCTGTACGGAGGAAAAGAAAGAACGTCATTATTACACTAATATGATGGAATTCTTTGAAAATTCGTCTTGTTTTGATGTCTAGAGCTTGCTGTAAATATTCTTTGCCACCGGTGGGCACTCGATCTATGCGTTTGTATATATACACTATACGTTTGTATGTCGTCTGATTAATTGAATTTCTTGTTTATATATTCTTGTTTTGCTATTCTTTTTTATGGTTAGTGTGAGCTGTGAAAAAGAAATTGTTCACAATGAGAGTATAATATCAAGAAAGTTCTAAAATAAGATTAAGGGATAATTCCCTAAGTAGGTCGAAATCAATGTTGAAATGCACAAATAGAACTCTCATATTTATAGGACCAAAAATCAACTGATTAGACAATATTGCCCTAGCTTAATGAAATTACAGTAAAAAAAATTCTTCCCCCAACTGCCTCATTCGTTGCACATCGCATGAAACCCAAACGGCAGAGACTTTCAGCACCTTCCGTGCACGGCCGCCGCTGTCCAGACCGTCGCCGTAGCCAAGTGAGACCAGTGCACCTGTCGTGGCCGAGATTGCCGCTCACACTGCACCTCCGGTGAGCTGACTTACCCCCTCCCACAACGAGAATGGAGCCACATCTAAATTCTTCTCTGGAGATTTGGCATCTTCTTAGTCACAGCTACCTCCTAAGGAGTGTATAGTTTCAATTTCAGGCGAAACTGCCATTATGAAAATAATGATGACAAAAAATGGCATTTCTATATGCAAAAACATGGGATTTTCAGATTACAAATTATGGCATTTTCACATTTTAGAGTCTAACATGTAAAATAGGAGAAGAAGAAAGAAGCGATGTTGCCGACAAGTTCAATTCAATGCTATAAAAATGCCACAATTTGTGAAAATGCCAAAAATTTGGCATTTCTTACAAGATGATAAAGATACACAATACATGCTAAAATTTAGATCTGAATTTTGTGAACAAGAGCCTCAAAATTTCATACCCAAATGTTTTGAATTCATACTGAATGTTTTGAACAAGTTCTTAAATTTCATACCCAAATATTTTCAAGCCAAAAATAAAATTTCCATTTAGACACTACTACATTTAGAGGCCTTTTGTAACAGTCAAATTCGTTACTATTGATCCAAAAGTCTGTTACATTCTCCCAAATGTAACAGTTTTGTGTCGTTACATTCGCTGGCGTTGCCTTTTCTCTATTGTAACACTATGTAACAATTTTTTAATCAAATGTAACACTCTTCTGGACGAACTAAAAGTGTTACCACAAAAGTTACCATAGATTGGAGTACAAATGTAACATTTTATAACTTGCTCAAATGTAACAGTGTAACACTTTAGAAACATGATGCAATGAATGCCACACTTATTATCTAATCTAATGTAACACCTACTATATATATTCACATTGATTTGCACATGAATAATATAAAATGTATAAAAATCAATAAATTAATAAATATCTTATTTAATAAATTTGAATATATTACGTAGTATACACTTGAATATGCTATAAAGGCTAATGACATTAACGTAATTAGTCACACAACCATGTAAAAACTGCAACCAATAAACTAAAAGCAAATGTATATATACAAATCTAAAAAAATGCCTCAAGTCTTTACAATTACACTGCCCACAAATCATTGAAATATGCGCCAAGTCTGTAGAACGTAATCATGACTTGTCCAAGACTCCAAGTATATATGAGAATTGGGTCGTTAAGTTGAAACACAATTTGGAGAAGCAATACATGGAGATCAAAGCTCATTCATCATCCGATGTCACTCTTTCCTCTTCATGTCACTCTTTCCTCTTCATGTGTATATGTGATCTGGATGCAAACATTTCAAAATATTAGCATATACAATTATGTTTCCACACTTATAATATTTGAAATAGCTATAAATCTGCATTTTCTTAATTCTTTTTCTTTAGCAACAGGTTAAAGTATACTTATTACTTAACTCATTATCCACTGTCTTCAAAACTCCATCTCATCAACTCAAAATGAACTAACAGTAACTTACTATAGAGTAGTTATTAGTTATCAATAAGACAACCATTGATAAAAAAAATTGTATTCACATGACACATATATAAACTCTAAGAGCAATAAGAAAAGTACCAAACAAAGCCATCCCTATCCGGATCTCTTCCCCAAGTGGCTGCAAATATCATAACATTGATGACTGAAACAACAAGAGAAATCGATGCATTATCACTAAGGTGTAGGATTCTTCCACCTTCTTTCTTGGAAGTTGCCAAGAGGCATCTCACACCTTGGAAGGAGGTCTCCAACATATGAACATGGTGAAGATATGGAGATAACTATGGAAGCTTGGATTCAACTTCCTCTTGTCTCCAAACCAGCCTATAAATAGAGTGTTCTATTGTTGTTCATATCATCAGTTTAGAAAGTGAGAAAAGTGTGTGAAGAGTGAAATACACTTAGAGTAGAAGTGTATTGGTGAGGATTGATTTTTTGTAATAGTTGAGTGTGAGAGTTTGCTCCTCCTATTGTAATTCTGTTCTTGATATTGAATAGAAGAATTTTCTAATCCCAACAAGTGGTATCAGAGCCAGGTTGAGTTTTCATACACTGTTTTCTCATTTTCAGATAAATTTCTACAGGTTAGAAAATCGTGATTTTTCAAGTTGCTCGGAATCACGATCTGATCATACCGTTAGATTCGTCTCGTCGAGACGAGAAATCTGGTATTTTTGGGGAATTTTTTGGCCACCGGAAGAGGCCGTACGCGCCGCCCAAACGCGCCGGAAAAATGCCTGCGTCATCACGCAGTCTAGAGGAAGAAGACGAGCCACGTCAGCCGCCACGTCAGCGCCACGTCAGCCGCCACGTCATCCGTGTAAGCCATCTCCTGGGGTGCCACGTCAGCGCCAGCACAGTCCAGCTGTTGCCACGTCATCCACCTGCTGGTCTGCCCACTGGTTTGCTGCTTGAACCGGACCGAACCGGTTCAAAGTTGTGGAGGCCGGTTCACCCATTTCCAGACCGGTTTTGGACGAGGTTACACCGGTTCTTACCATTTTCGGCCATTCTGGATCCAACGGTGGCTCCGTTTGTCCAAATTCGGCTCCGAAAATAAGGTACGAGATATTTTGAGCGTTTTATTATGGATAAATCATCATCGGACACCATGATTGCGCTCACTTCCACAAATTACAATATGTGGAAGCCTCGGATGGAGGATTTGCTAAATTTGAGGGATTTAGCCGACCCTCTTGATAATAATGGCGTGAAACCGGATAAAAAGACGGATGAAGAATGGACAAAAATGAATAGAAAAACTGTCGCACAAATTCGACAGTGGATAGATCATAGTGTGTTCCACTATGTTGCGTAAGAACAAAGTGCTTACACACTATGGGAGAAGCTTGGTAGCCTGTATCAAGCAAAAACCGCCCGAAATAAGATGTTACTAATGAGGAGATTAGTAAACCACAAGTTACGAGGAAGTATTTCGGTGTCAGAACACACCAGTCAATTCCAGGATCTTGTGAATCAGTTGAGCACCACCGGATGGGTTCTCAAAGATGAAGAGCAGGCGATACTACTCTTGAGCTCTCTACCTGACAGCTGGGAGACTCTTGTTGTCACTCACAGCAATTCTGCTCCCAATGGCAAAGTGACTATGCAGATGGTCACAGATGCCCTTATGAACGAAGAAGCCCGAAGAAAAGAAGCCGGGACTGAACAATCATATGCCTTCGTGTCAGAAACCAACAGGCGAGGGGGAGGCAGAAATGGAGGAAGAAGTCGAGGTCGAGGTAGAGGTCAAAGTCAAAACAGAGGAAATTCTCAAGTTCGCGGCCGATCACAAGAACGAGGTATGTCCTGTGAAAACAATACTTGGTTTGAAGGATATTGCAACTATTGTGGTAATTATGGGCATAGAAAAAGAGATTGTAGAAAGTTTCTACGAGAGCAGCCACAAACGAGTCAAAATACTAGCCAAGAAGATGGTGTGACTATGGTTAGTTTGTCATTAGATGCGTGTCTTGTTACACATGGTGAACAAGAATGTTTACACGTAGGTACTCATGATGTTGAGTGGGTGATTGATACAGCCGCATCATTTCACGCTACTCCACACCAGAACTTATTCACATCTTATAAGTCAGGAGACTTTGGAGCTGTGAAGATGGGAAACACGAGTTTCTCGAAGATTGTTGGCATTGGTGATGTGCACATAACAACCAATGTCGGATGCGCACTTGTGTTGAAAGATGTTCGACATGTTCCGGATCTTAGATTGAATCTTATCTCCGGTACAGCTCTAGATCAGCAAGGATATCTTAACCGATTCAAAAAAGGTACGTGGAAGTTATCTAAAGGTTCCTTGGTTGTTGCAAGAGGCCATATTTGTGGTACTCTGTATAAAACTCATGCAAAGTTGTTTCATCCGAGTCTCAATGCTGTTGAAGAAGAGATATCACCAAACTTGTGGCACCGGAGGTTAGGCCACTTAAGCGTGAAGGGATTGACAACTCTTGCTAGGAAGGAAAGGATTTCCATGGGCAAAGGTGTTGCCCTAGATCCATGCGAACACTGTCTATTCGGGAAACAACACAGGGCTTCCTTCAGTTCTACCAGGAAGAACCATTCAGAGTTACTCAGTCTTGTACACTCTGATGTATGCGGACCCATTGAAGAGGAGTCACTTGGAGGAAGCAGATATTTCGTGACATTCATTGATGATGCATCACGAAAGGTATGGGCTTATTGTTTGAAGAGTAAGGATCAAGTGGTTGATTGCTTCAAATTATTTCATGCCATGGTAGAAAGAGAAACAGGGAAGAAGCTGAAGTGCCTGCGTTCAGACAATGGAGGAGAGTACACTTCCCGGGAGTTCTCAGCATATTGCGCCGCATATGGAATCAGACATGAGAAGACGGTTCCACGAACTCCACAGCACAATGGTGTAGCCGAAAGAATGAATTGGACCATTATGGAGAAAGTTCGTTGCATGCTGAGTATGGCTAAACTACCTAAGCCATTCTGGGGTGAAGCTTTGCTGACAGCTTGTTATCTTATAAACAGGTCACCTTCTGTTCCTTTAAACTTTGAAGTGTCAGAGAAGAAATGGTCAAGAAGAGATGTTTCTTACTCTCACTTGAAAGTGTTCGGTT